AATTGCATATCATACCAAATCAAATGCATACAATTAATAAAGAAATAATCTACAAATGAAAATAGTTAAACACAACACACTGAAATTAGCTATGAAGGTGCCTAAACCATTTGAATAATTTCCCTTGCTTTAATAAAAATGCCTAGATATGATTTGTAATTATGAATAAAAAATACAATAATGTTAAATAAAAATCATCATTTGTCTATCTTTTAATTGTTCCATTTAATATAACATAATAATTAAAATTTTAAATTTCAAAATTAATAAATATTTTAAATGTATAATTATACATATAAATACACAAATAACAAAAAAAAAAATTTGGTGCCCCTACATTGATAAAGCCTGTGCGGTCGCTCAACTCGCGCACCCTCAGGGCAACCTCTGATTAAATGCATATGCTGCCACATATTTTAGATCCTACTTTATGTGGATTCAGCACCCACGCGTGTTGTCACTATAACAGTTACACAGATTGTGCAGGTATCGAAGACCTAATCTTGCCCTAGTTGTAGGAAGATGATTTCAAGCAAGGGGATAGATTGACCCCTGAATCAGATTTCTGTGTCTTCTATATAAAACGCGACTTTCTTTGCCTTGAAATAACTACAATTTACAACCTTTGACCAAGTGTTAGATGGGGTTTTGGACAAGTAATCTTTAACCAACAGTTCTTGTCTAAAGCATGGAAGATTAACCTTTATTCAGTCTGTTCTGTCTAGCAGTCCTATGTATCATATGGGCAAAGTTGGCTTTGACAGGAAGATGCTATGGATATAACCCTAGAGACAATCTTCTTTGTGGGGAAGGATTGGGAGGGGAATGTAGTTGGACCAAATGGTGGATTCCAAAAGAAACATGGGAACCATCTCAGCTTTCTTCTGTCAAGGGGAGTCAATAAAAGTACAAAATGAAATCGAGCATCCATTCGGTGAAAAATATTTCATTCTTTTTCTTTTGTTTATTAAAAGATAGCCACTTTGCATATCTTCTTTTCTATTGTTGNTTTATCTCTCAAGCCATAATCATGCCATAATTATAGGAATGACTTATTTTTAATTACTTTTTTTTTCTTTTTCCAAAAAATAATAAAAAAAAATGCAAGGCATTTTTTTTTTTTGATAACTGTGGATGTCCGGACGATTTTGCGCACACCTTAATTAATTTCACTAGATCCTAAAGTTTACGACCAGGTACTCACCTCAATAGTTTTGAGAGAATTCAAATTAGTGACCATTGAGAAACAAACTCAAAACCTGACCAATTGATCAATCCCTCAAGGTTAACAAAGATTAGTGATAGCGATTACAAGAAACAAAAAAGTTGGGGATAAAAGTGCAAAAGGGTGCCACAATTTCCCAATTTGATCGGGACTCCCACTTGCTTTCCCCAGAATTTTCGGCTAAACTCAGAAATACACCATTCTAATCTCAATCCAGCAGGTTACATTATAACTAAAAACACAAGGAATAAAAACACGGGTTACAAGTATTTCATCATTCTAATCTCAAACCATCAGGACAAAAAGTTCTAATCCACATCCAGGAAACTGGAATCAACTGGACTTTATTGTCCAGCATACGAATTTATAAGTAAAACTAATAATGTAAGATAAAACTGCATAATCTTCAGGCTTACAACCATTCGTCTCTGCTATCATAATCAAGAACTTCGAAATCTGTTAAGGTTGAATTAACTCTAATAACAACACTCCCAAGTTACAGGACTTGCATACATCAAAAGGTAATTCAGATATTGAATAATGGAAAGAAACTAAACCTCCAAACAATTTCTAAAACAAATTTTCACTACATTAGATGCAACATGTTATATATTGTTCAACACAAGCAGTGTTATGGCAAACAAACAGAAATTTAGTTCACTATATAGCACCACTAAATGTCACACTTGCATCCTAAAACACAATTACCAATTTCATTACAGCATGCACCACCAACATCCAGCCAAGTTCTTTCCAAAATCACCATCAAGATCTACTAGAGTTTAGAACGCATCTATTACCTATCTAACACTTTATGGAGATAAAACTGAACACAACCACCATTACCCACCACCAGACTTGAAAGCAATAGAATCTAGTCAATCTAAGCCCTCTCACCCCTAATCCTGCGAGCCAGTTGGATGTCCTTAGGCATGATAGTAACACGCTTGGCATGGATAGCACACAGGTTGGTGTCCTCAAAAAGACCAACAAGGTAGGCCTCTGCAGCCTCCTGAAGTGCTAAAACAGCATGGCTCTGGAAACGCAGATCAGTCTGCAACCACAGAACAAGTCAAAACAAAAATGCACTCAGCAATAAATTAATATCATTCTTTTTTAAAATATATGAACAAAGAAAAAGCAAAGTTTATGTTATCAATGAACCTTGAAGTCCTGGGCAATTTCTCGAACAAGCCTCTGGAAAGGCAGTTTCCTAATCAACAGTTCAGTACTCTTCTGATACTTGCGAATTTCACTGTATCATAACATTAATAAAAATAAACCAGCAGGAAATCAACACACGACTGCATTGCCTAACAAGTAATTGAAGCAAAGGAATACTTACCGAAGAGCAACAGTACCAGGGCGGTAACGGTGAGGCTTCTTCACTCCACCTGTGGTTGGGGCAGACTTACGAGCAGCCTATATAAAGAAATTAAACTAAATCAAATTTGCCTAAAGGAAACCACTATTTAAACGCAAAATTAACAATAGCAAAGCAAGCAACACATATTTAAACCTTTGTAGCAAGTTGCTTCCTTGGAGCCTTTCCTCCAGTTGATTTACGAGCAGTTTGCTTGGTACGAGCCATCTACACACAATTACCACGAGAAAATGGCATTCACAAAATTTTCATAGAGAAACCCCAAAACTACATAGCAAAGCATAATCCACGAATTAAATTAGATTTCCCATGCCTTAAGTTTACAAATCTCAAAGGACACATAATTCAGAAAAGTAACTGCCAGCTATATAGAATTTGACGGGAGAACGTACAACATCAGTAGAAAGAGAGAACATTAGCGAAAACTTAAACATCCCAAGAACTAGTACTCTCACGACCAATTTTAGATTCAAACAAGGGTAAGAACTACAACCTTTTTTGTGAGGGGAAGAGTAACACCTTAAAGCTGAAGATCATAAAATTGTCAAAGAAGCAGACATTCATGAGATATCATTATCTCAAGCCCACAAACCTAATGTTAGGTCATATAACCCCTACTTTCAACATATTACAGAAAACGTAAGAACGCGAGAGAGAAGAAAACAGAGAACCCGAAAAAACAAACATCTAGCACGCCTACATTGACAGAAACACTGATCGACAAGTGCAAATCAAACCTCAAACCCTAAGCATATATCTAAAATCATCTTCAATCGAATCTAAAAATGTTCGCACATACACACGCATATATGTTTGTGAAAAAACTTGTCAATTGAATTCAAATAAATTACAACCAAATTGAAACAGAGTACAGAAAGGGTAACTCACCTCTCGAACAGAAAACTCTCCTCTCTCTCTTCCTCCTCTGGGCAGCGATTGTAAAGTTCGAATCTCTAGACGGATAGCACGTATATATAAGAGTTGTAGGGGTTCGATGTTAATTATGATCGACGGCGAAGATTTAATATCCCGAAGTCTCCCAATTACGGAATCCCACGGTCATTAATGTACTAGGTTGTGTTTTCTGAACTGAAATTAACGGCGCTATGTAAACCAAGTGGTGTGACGCGGATCGAGTAGTCTCAAATTCTCGATTGCTATTGGTCCAAATTTGTTAGCTTTGGAGTGTGTTTTTCTTTATTTGGCAAATGATTTCAATTCTTGTCCAAAATGAAAAACAATGGGTGGCCACTGTGGTAATATTGATTTTCTAAAGCATTTATCAATGCTACTTATCAGGTTTACTTGCCACCGAGTAAGCCTGGATGTTGTTGAGGAGTTATATCAGCCATTTTTCCCATTCCGCTTGTGCTTGAGAATCGCAATGAAAGGTTGATAAAAGTTTCGTAGTAAAAAAAATGTATTTTTCTCTATCATCTTTTCAATCATATTCTCTAATAAAATAATATTAAATGTAAATTCTAATTTCTTTTCTTATTTATTAACCACACATTATCCAAAAATTACTATTCCAAAACGTATTTTTCTCAAATTACATTTTTAATGGAACCCAAATAGGGCTAAATGTTGTCCATTGTCCTATTTTTCTTGACTATTATTTTTTCGTCTTTTTTTTTTTCTCAATTTCTATATTGATATAAATAGATTTTTGTTATTTAATTTTGACACTTACCAAATATTGATGATCATCGAAAAAGTAATAATTTTAGTAGAATAAACAGGTTGACATGGAGAGAAAGATTGTGCATCCTTACAACGATCGATATGTATATATAAAAAGATAATTAATTAGGTGATTGATATCCTCGTAAACGTTAAAAGAATTGCATAGGTTTCAAGGTCTATCTACAATGAAGTGTAGCTCATCAGCACAACCCAATAATTAAAATAAAATGATATGATACTGAGATGTACAAAAAAAAAAAAAAAAGATAAAAATTATAGGATTTGTACTTTGCCAAAACTTTAGGATCAAAAAACCTTTGACATGATTCAGAAACCAGTGGTAACAAAGTCAAAAATTTCACCACACCCCGATATAATATCCAACTCATCATCAAAGAAACTCATTCAACTATTCAATTCTGTTTTACAAAAGGTATGAACAAATTAGACCTAATTCATTGAACCACTAAGAAGCTGAAATTTACATAAATATAGAGGAGCAGAGTAGTGTCACAGACTTTAACGAAGCCAAGATCAACAATCACCAAAGAATTCCTTGCATAAACTACAACTAATCAACTGCTGACTCCACTGAAATCGTTGATATGTACTGAGAGTATCTTGTCAACCAGTATTAAAAAATGCACATTAGAGTTTACAAATTATCATTCGGACATTGGCTGCATAATTTCTGGTCCTTCGCTATTATTCATGAAAACTAAAACAGTCTGCGACCTCTAGATGATTTGCAAGTCGGCTTATAGAAGATTGTACAGCTTCAGACTTGGGAGACACGATACTGGGAAGTTCAGGTATGCAAACAGGCAAATATTGATGGCCACTTTCTCGCAAGCGAAAGAGAGTAAGAACAGCTCGGCAAAAAATAAATCTGGACAGATTTCATTAAAGCATATACACAATTTTTAGCTTAAACTATTATAAGAATATTCACAAAATAAGAACTGCAACGGCTGAGATGAACAATATATTTTATAAGCATGAAAATTACATTCGAAAATTGTAAAAACCATCCCGCGAGCTCTAAATAATTTCAGCGAACTATATCTGGTACTTAAGAAGGCTACCAAATCCCAGCGTAGGCTTGAGAAGGAGATAACAATAGAGTACTAAATTGCTAATTTTACATATAGCTAAATTTTATAAAGTTGGAGTTTAGTGGAAGCCTCACAAGTTTCCCAGTTATAGCATTCAAGTCCACCCCTTCATCAAATAATTGATATCAGCAGTAAATAGGACCAAAATACAAAGCTATAGCAACAAGGAAAGCTTTCAAATTGATCAGATTCTCCAAAAAATTTATCAACGTTAATCTGCAAAGCTTCGTGATAGCTTCAAATTATTAATGCTGAAGTCTTAGGAGCATTCGTAGAATCTCTAGATGCTAAATATATGACAACACCGATGTTTAGCCAATTTGTAGGAGCCAAAAATGAGAAGTCTAAATCCAAAGGAGTTCTGTTGATATTTGCTTGTAAACTTTCTAGACCGAAGTAGTAAATGGAAGGTTCTATTTTTACTTTAAAAACTTGTTCAGCTTGAATGCACTTCACTACAGTTCTAATTACTGAGACATAACGGGTCCTTTTCATTTTCAGTTCAAGTCTAATTTCTGATTCAGAGTTCACCACTCGAAATACGACGTGATATCTTTCAGAACTCAAATCAGACGTTCGTTTTCAGTTATTGGTTTCTCAATCTTGTCTCCAAGTGATTTAGAAGAAGATGGGCGAAACAGAAGATAAGTACCTAAGAATAAGCCGCCGTAGAAATGGATCCGATAAAAGTTGAGCCCAAACCAGATCCAGGCTAGTTGAAGTACAAAGGATCTTCTCCCACTCAGAGAATGCAGTAGAGATAATATTCTCCAAAGCATTGTACATGTCCTGAAAACAAATCCATTAACAAATAAGACAGGATTGAAACTACTTTCTGAAAAGTTCAATTAACTACACCGTTCACTTACCAGGACATCGATAGACAAGTTGAAACCAACCAATTGGCAGAAAGCCTGTAAAGGAACGGTCAAGAAGAAAGTGAACTGACTTCCATTTTGTGCCATATCAGTGTCACTTGGATCCTTGAATGAAGGCCTTTGAGGAGAAAGAAACAAAGCAGCAGGTTCACCCCTTTCAGCTCCATGTAGAACCTGAAGATCAGTCTACACATCAGCAACTCAGAGAAATTTTTACCCCTTTTAGACCAATACTCGAGAAAAATTCAGGCAAGGGGACTTGTGGATTTGAGATTAAGGCTTGTTAGAGCTTAGTAAAATTATACGACATAATTAAAACCAATTCCTTAACTATTGTATACCTACATTAATCGAGTAAACATAAGAGGCACAAATTGAAGTAGGATGGATGTAAAAAACTACTGTCAACTTCAGTTTAGCAAGTGCTTCATGGGGTAGATTAAACAGAAAATGCCAATATAGGTTGATATATATCCACCTCAAGAGGGTCGTGGGATCAAGAAAGTATTTTTGGTAAATGTGGAGTAAGATAGTCAATAGACCATCATATTTCATACAAGTTACACTCATGTACTTGACAAACAGGATTTTACAAAAGCAAGAACAATCTGATGTAGACTAACATTAATTGTGTCGGAATCATTTTTTCACAGAGCAAAAGTCATTTTGCATATCTTATTCTGTATTTTAAAAAAGGTAGCTTCAAATAGAAATGAATAATGAAAGACGATTCACATATTTGACGCCAAATGTATTTGGACAAGGTTTAGTTTCTTGTAGCTGATTACACAATGTTAAAAGCATTACACAATTAGTGCAGTTACTGCACTAAAGAAGCAGCTTAGGCAGAAGCTATGACAATAATTCAAATTTCGAACAAATGAATACCATTGAGCAAAAACTTAAGCTGACATTAGTATTAATACTATGGGGACGTGAATTCCTAATCTAGAAAAAGAAGATGCTTAATGCATGGCAACGAAATTATCACATTATTAACATATGGAGTTCTATAACTACCACCAGAGTATACATATGTGCCTGGAGCCTAAAATGTTGGGAGAAGTTATTCTACAAAATTCTGAAAAACCTGCCTTGAATACATGGCTGTTATCACTATCTATAATCATAAAAGTAGGTCTTCTGGTAAAAGGAATTATATCACCGGGATAGAGGAAATTTGAACCTGAAAGGCATAAGTTTAATTGTAAGAACAAATAAGATGATAATACCAAGACTACCATGAGAAAAACATTCTCAATAGTATGAAGAATCATATAGGCTTAGTTATATGTTCCTACCTCCATTTTTGTTGGGACCTAACCACAAATAATTCTCAAAACACTGACTTGAGTCTCCATTCATAGTGACATGATTTTGACACTGACCATTGTTCTGTGCATGATGATTATAGGAAGGATCATTGGACTTGGCACACTTGCTTGATACACCAAAGCTTTTGATTTCTGAAGTATTATTGGTACCAGTGTCTCCTGCATTCAGATATGATTTCAGTTGTCTAAGATGATGTTAAGCATCCCTCCAGCCAGGTTAAGTTATAAAGTTTAAGCCAAAAGAAACCTGGTGCTGACAAGTATATTAGCATAACACTATCAGGAGGAAGCCCCTCACAGACTGTGGCAATCACCTGTAAATACATGAACAACCGATCAAACAGTAAATTCATATGAAATGCAAGCAAATAGACTTATTATTTAAAAGATCAATATGCATTTAAACTCTCCCTGAAGCCCTGATCCAAAGCATCAATTATACATAAAAGAGCAAGCAACAATATCAAGATTTCAGCACTCACAGATATCAACTGTGTCGCAGATGGACGGTAGAGAACAGCTTTTTTAGGATTTGATGGCAAAGTTGGATCTACCATATCTGCCACTAAATTGATGTCTATCAGTCCTGAAACAACTGATTGATCGGACATATTACCATTCTCTCTTGATTCAACGGGATGCTTTTGATAGAAAGATCCACTAGGTTCCCATTCCAAACATTGTAGCATTCTGAAAGTGTCTAAAGTCAGTTCTGCAAATTTTACCTGAAATATTACATAGAGAAATCATTCAGAATAATTATCTTCCCAGAGTAAGAACCAGCAATATAAGCCCTGTTTGGTGCCATTTTTTTTTTTGGAAAAACATTGTTTTGAACAGTGAATTTTTGGAGAATGTGTAATTAAAAAGTATGGAAAAATTTTGAGTATACGTGTAGAATATTTTATTAAGTGAATGTGTGTTTGAAAATAAGTATGTAGAAATTTTCTCTCTCTCTCTTTTTTTTTAAAGAATGGGAGACAAAAAGGGGCTAAATTACCTCATTTTTGTGATAGCTTGTCAGCACAGCATCTTGGAATTTTAAAAGTCTCTTAGCATGGAATCTGGAAACATATGGGAGTGAGGCTGGATAGGAATCAAACATGGCACAGTAACGCAGAGGCTTAATGTTCAAGATGGCTGAATCAGCTCTTGTAAATTGAACAATTTCTTGCACCACCAGCTTCCATTCTTTGAAGTTGGTTCCCTGGGAAATAAAATATACAGTTAACTGCTATAAGGTGGGCTAATGTTCAAAATACATATCCCATAGAGGAGAAATTAAAATAACTTGCGATATGGTAGAAACATTATATCAAGAGCATCTACATTTTTCCAGATAAGAACCGCCATATATGGAAAAAATGCTAACATTTTGAAAATTGAACCTTCCTCCTGGTCTAAAAAGCACCTGAAGCCGTTGTATATTGAAACATTTTAAGAAGTTTCCAATAATCTAACCGAACAACCCACAAATCTCTAGTCATCACGCAGAACCAAACTCATCGATGAACATACAATTTCTTAAAATTGGTAAATTGGCTTAATTTTTTTATATTTATATTGCCACCAAAACAAAAAAAAAATACCTGCCATAAAAACCAATCAATTGTCGTCAGGAATTCATTATTTATTGATGACTTTAAATAAGCACTATTGTTATATATTAGGGAGCAGACCTTGCTGCCAATGAGCAAAATAAACACACCACTTAACACTTCTTCACTAAGAAATAAGAGAGAAGTTTCCTTTCTTTAAGTCACACTGCTTGTTAGAAATGTTGATTGAGGCTTACGCCTTCAATCTCACCTCACATGAGGCTTTCATTGTACGCAAGTTTGAGTGTATTTGTCAAGGCTAATGCCTCGATTTGCTAGTATTTATTCCTTGACTTACTAAATCTTACTCCTCAATGATAAGTGATGGGTAATGGAAACTATTCTAAGAAGATTACTACATTATTATCAAAGTAAAGATAGATTAGATTTTAGTAGTTTGATTAACTAGATCTTAGTTATTTCGTGTAGTAGTTATATATTATGGGCCCGTTTGATTCTCATTATTGTAGAATGAGAATGAAAAATATAGCTGTTATTGAGCCTTACACAAGAGATAGAAATTTAAAATTAACGGTCATATTTTTCATTTTTATGGATGAAAAATGAGAAACAAACGGGCCCTATACGTTATTAGTTTCAAAATCTTTACCCTATAAAAGGGAACCTATGTTTTAAAGTTCTCTTTTGCAATAGTATCTCGTCCTTAATTCTCGTTTCTTCCCTTAAAGTTTTTCTTCTCTCTAATTCTCTATTCCTATTTTTGTCCTATGAGCATCACTAAGTTTCCTTTCTTTACGGCATTTCAGAACAATTTCTTCGATAACAATCCTAAAGGAGCCTGAAGGTTTTCTAACGATTCGATAATGATGATGGTGAAGATATTGATGCTAGACACAATATCGATATTTACCTTAATACGGAACTGGAATTGCTACTATTACAAATGTGAAAAATGTGGATATGATACTGAAAATAGACCAATTTTATATTACCTTCAATTCGATTTAGCAAAAGCAATGTTTCCTTGCATAATGTGGATTCCAAACATTTATGATTTGGGTGTCAATCTAAGAGTAGTTGAGGTGTGCGCTCGTTTGTCTGGCCTATTCTAGGTATTTTAATAATGGTTCCAAATTATTGGGCTATTTTTTCATAATCTAGAATGTTTTACAGATATTTTTTTATAAAATTTTGTAAGGAGGCGACACCATTGTAAGGGGGGAAGACAACAAAGAATGAGAAGGAATTGATAGTGATGATGATGACGGTGACAATGATGAGGAAATCACAATATCACGCAGAGATAAAAACTTCGTTGGTCACCAAGCTTTCAAAATGTGTCAGTTTAGTTATTCACCAAACTTTTTGTTTAAGCACAGGTGGTCACCGAACTCACAGAGTTGTTTTAATTAAGCACTGACCACATATCTTGTTAGTCGATTTAATGGATTTCAGGATGTATCTAACAGCGAGACTTATGTGGCAAATGAAAATGTCAACAGGGCACAAAATCAACAAATTAATATCCAAAATCATGTTGATCTTTCCGATGAGTGAATAAACTGATGCGTTAAAATGAAAAGGCGTAAACCATTAAATGAGTACTGTGAAATTAAATTTTCTGTAATGGCAATTGTTAGCTTATCATGCTATCTTACCAAGGCCTTCAGCCACAAGCAACGCCATAAGACACCTCAACAAAAATGTTAAATTTACTAATTAACTCGTGAAGAGTGACTCAATTGAAATAACTTTTTTCTAGATTCTAATCTACTTCTAGTAGTAGATTAGAATTTTATTACTAAATTACTGATTCATGATCTTAACATTTGCTACTTGATTGATCTATTTCATGTTTGTTAGTAAATTAGACTTTTAATTTGGTTAATCTGTTTTACAAGGCATTCTTAAAATGTTTCATGATTTTTTACAATTTTTGTGCTTTTATATTTCTGTAAATTACTCAGTTGGCTTGCCTCACAGCCTATGCCTCGTGTCACGGATGTTGGTTATGCGCCTCTATGTTCAATTGAGCCTTCTTAAATACTGACTACATCGAAGAATACTAAGAAGACGCATTAGACTAAAAGGGAGCTCTGCCCATCATGTGGAGAGACCTAGGAAATCGTAGAAGTTCTCAGCTGAAATTAAATTTAAAATTTCTGATATAATACAATTTAATCTTTGGAACAAGAAATTGCAAATTGATGTCTAACACCTGTGATAGGCCTATGAATTTCTTTTTTTTTTTTTTTACCCAAAAGGAAACAAGTATCAAGATTTGCACCAAAATGACATAAAATGAACAGATTGGATATAAAAGAGAGAGGCTTCAAATCAATCAGAAAAACAATAAATCAATGTTTGGTACAGATTCTTTAAAACTTATTTTCAATTTTCTCAAACTCATTTTCAACTAAACATTCTCTCAATAAAATTATTTTGCATGTGACTAGTAACTTTTTTGTACCCTTTTAACAGTATATTCTCCAAAAATATCACTTTTTACAATATCCACTATTAAGAAATCTACATCATGCCCTAAATACATCTTCTCTACTGCAGAAAGATGAAGGAAACAATGATTGACTTCCTTGGGTCTAATGAACTCAAAGAATTGAGCTAAATAACATACATAATATAGGCATTTTGAAGTCAATTGATTATTTCTCTAGCCTTTCCATTTGCACACGACTATACCAATGTCCAAATCACATATTTACTTGAATTTATAGCTGAAAACTTTAATTGTGAATCTGTGATAGAAAAAGTGTAATTCATACCCGGAAATTGGCTTTACTGTCTTCAACAAGTTCCGTGAACTTTTCCACAAGCAACTTCACCATTTCTTTATGGTTCAAGATCAAAGAAACCATCAAAAACCTCGCGTAAAACCTCAACTCCTTGAACCTAACCCCACGATCCCTGCTCGAACCCTCAAAATATTTCCTGTTAAAAATGGCCTCGTAAAATATGTACGATTCGAACAGGAACCGAGCCTCGCTCGTCCTCAGGTACTGGCTGAAGTAGAGCTGGCCAATCCGGGATGAGATCTCCCCAATTTCCCAACGGCGAAGCCCCGACTCCACCAATTTATCCCGGTTCTTCTGCTGGTACTTCCAGAGCCGCATGTAAGCCTTAAACGCTTTGTGGAAGAAGTGGCCATTTTCCATGTCACTGCCACCGTAGGGATGCAGTGGGACATCACGAAGCCGGGCGAATTTCCGTTCGGCGCTTTCCACTAAAGCGTGGAACGTCTTAGGAACTACATCCTCTGTAGACATTACGAAGGGAGAAAAAAATAATTAATTCAACCCACTTTTTTTCGCATGAGCTTCAACATTTCCTTGTGGCAGTTTGTCAAATAGAAAAAAAGAAGAATCAATTACTTTATTTTGAGTTAAAAGCATGTAGGAAAGCCGGGAAATTGGGCGGTCAAAAAATTTGTTTTTTATTTTTTATTTTTGTGGTCTGAAGGGATTTCAATTTCATGGAATAACAGTGGCGGCGTTACACAGCTTGTCAGTGGATGGTGGCTTGGTGGTGTATTTGGGCGGTGTGGTTTAATCCCGGTGTGAGACGGTGGGGAAACCTTGTCTGGCCAGTTGTTTTGTGGTTGTGAGTGGGAGTTGACACTTGACAGAGCGATTCTAGGCGTTTGTTCATTCACTGGTGGGGTCATTCTTCACGGCCCCACCAATTAAGATTCGAATACGATGTAGAAGGAATATACCAATGATTACCTCAAGAAATAACACCGTTCTTGATTACTAGTAGGGGCTTTTCAGTGTTACAAAATCAAACAGAAGGGATAATTTGTAGCGTTACGTATGGTTTCATAAATAAAGAACAACACGTGTACTAAAAGTAAACCTTAATACAAAGATCATCAATAATTCAAAATACGGCACACCCATGTTCACATATTACAACTACTACAACGGAAAATTGAACATTTCAAATACATGAATCATTCGGTCCATTACTGTAACGCAGGTTCATATAAGCGTTTTTCATATACAAAATGTGTTTTTGTTCGAAGAGAGATTTTGGTAGTAACTAATAGCAATTACATCCTGCATTGTAGAAGACAAGAACACCTTCAAAACTTGTAGTGACCAATATAGAAAGGACAGAGAACTTTTCAAGAGGAACAATGTTGAGTTTCACAAAGTGTATAATTGATAAATGGGTAGTATTTGTAATCGTATGATTAAAATTAATGTTTGACAGTCCTCCAATGTCCGAGGCAATTGTGATTTGTCCTATGATACCTTATTCAAGTTGTATTATGATAGTATGAAACCACCTTAGAGGTGAATCAAATCCTTTCTTTCACGTTGGAACAATATGGGAGTCGTAGATCTATGATGCCTAGGATGCAACATTGTGACATCATTGAGTTTTGACTAGTGAGCTATTGGGATGATGTCAATTTCAAATATTGAAAGGATCTCAATTCATATATCTTGCCTATAAATACTCGTACGTGATGACACTGTAAAAGTAATACAAGTTGGTTATTCTCCCTCTACAAATATAAACCTCAAGTCCCACATTTCTTCTTCGATCCTGTCACTACCACTCAATACATTTTGCTGACTGTTTGATTGATTTGAGCGTCAAGTATATACTATCACAGTATTTCCCACCTTGTGTGGAGAAGTTCCGATCTTTCGCCTCTAACGTTTTTGTTCTAAGTGTGCATATAATATACACGTGAAAGAAGTGAAGACATGATCTGTTGACGTGTAGGTTCCAACCAGACTTAAAGGTCAACGATAAGTGTTTAGGCATAGTTATAAAAATCGACTTAGATATTGACCCAAATAAGGCGTTGGTCATTGGGTCATTGATTCGACCTGAATCTACAGATTAATTATGATTTTACGTTCCCTTTATTATTTCTAATATAGAATAAAATAGTAACAAGATTTGCGCGTGAAGTAGCAAATTTCACAAACTTTTAATACAGAAAAAACCATTAGGTAACATGTTTGAATGAAATTTTCACTATTCAAAACAAATACAAAAAATCCGTCAACCAAGTAAGCTTTTGGGCTATATAAACAAAGAAATTAAAATTAAACCCATTCAATCATGGGTTTTGGGTCATCCGGGTCGACCGGTTCGCCAGAGTCAAATTGGTTTTCTCTGGTTCAATATTTTGTTTGGTTAATTCAGAGACTTGGACTGATTTATTCTCGGTCGAGGTTCACATGTGGACCCGATCTATCCGAATTGATTTTTTATAGTTACACATTGAGAGTTGCTATACGTACAGGTTTTCTTTGCCAAAATTTATACAGGTGGGCGAATGTCAACTTTTCATTGGTAGTTGGAAAAAATGAAAGGAAAATTGGCCAATCAGGTGCTATGAATGCGCTGTAATCTGCCTGTACAATCAGCTAGTCCCTCATACATTTAGGAGTATATAATCCAGATAATGCTAGAAGTACATAAGCATTTACATAAGGGTATCCATATTGTTGATGTGGCAATCATCCGATCATTGATATGTAAGTGTCAGATTTGAATTAAAGGTGATATCACATGCCACATCAACATTATGGATACCCTTATGTAGATACTTATGTACCTCTAACATTATCCATATAATCCATGGGGAATTTTCAGGTATAATTTTTGCGTTCTTTATGACATTTTTGAGGTATAGTTTATGTTAAATATACAAGGTTAGAGTTGACAAGTTACGAATGAAAACCTTAACTAGTTTTGTATTAAAAACTAGAATGTCTACCTCTAATCTGTTTATTTTTTAATGTTTTATGGCAAATGTGTCTTGACAAAATGCTATTAACGATCGGGATTAAGTTGTCTCAATTGCTTATAAGTAAAATCAATATATTTGAAATACAAATAACTCGTTCATATAACATAAAAAATTACTTTTTTAATTAATCAAAATCAAACATTAATTTCAATCATACACTTACAATTACTACTCATTTATTAACCACACATTTCATGTGACACAATATTGTTCCTCCAAAAAAATTACTAATAACATTTCTCGAACACTTCCGAAATGTTATAAAAATTACCTTAAATTGATCTTTTTAGCATTAATTTATGAATTTTCATCCATAACATAATATATCTACACTGGAAAAACCATTTATGCTCAAATTAAGAGCAACACATGGTATCCTAGGAGCTTACTTTTACCAGAAAATGAATTTATTTTCCAAGTTCCAAGGAAAATTTGGTCTTTCAAACATGACCTTAATATAATCCACGGGGAATTTTCAGGTCTAATTTTTATGTTCTTTATGACATTTATAAAGTATTGTTTATGTTAAATATACAAGGTTAGAGTTGACAAGTTACGAACGAAATAAAAACTAGAATGTCTACCTCTAATCTGTTTATTTTTTTATGTTTTATTACAAATGTGTCTTGACAAAATGCTATTAACAATCGGGATTAAGTTGTCTCAATTGCTTATAAGTAAAATCAATATATTTGAAATAAAAAGAACTCGTTCATATAAAAAAAAAAAATTACTTTTTTAATTAATCAATATCAAACATTAATTTCAATCTTACAATTACTACTCATTTATTAACCACACATTTCATGGGACACAATATTGTTCCTCCGAAAAAATTACTAATAACATTTCTCTCGAACACTTCCAAAATGTTATAAAAATGACCTTAAATTGATCTTTTTAGCATTAATTTATGAATTTTCATCCATAACATAATATATCTACACTGGAAAAACCATTTATGCTCAAATTAAGAGCAACACAGGGTATCCTAGGAGCTTACTTTTACCAAATTTATGAATTTTCATCCATAACATAATATATCTACAATGGAAAAACCATTTATGCTCAAATTAAGAGAAACACATGTTATCCTAGGAGCTTACTTTTACCAGGATTTTCTTTTACGAATTGGGGAAGAGTTGAATGGTAATGTCTGGTCTCGTGGCGACACAAAATAAGTTGAATTACCTGCAATTTTCTAAATTGTGACAACCATAAAGATAAAGTTTGTGTCTTTAGTTCTAAATCTGGCTTTATGACTTTTCTCTTTCGCCCAATTTTCAATAAAAGATCTTTAATTTCTTTGCTCCATTAGGTGAATGAACTTTGTCCGCTCCCTCGCCGTGTACTTTAACTTTGACTTGTTAAATTTTAAATTCTTGTCTCAACGTATGTGTGTGTATACACCATCATATCTCGACGGATGAGGTCCCAAAACACCATATGTGGTACCCGGATTTGGGCCTACACTCCAAGTTATTCTGTCGGGAGGTAGTTTACCGAACCTCATGAAGAGACTGAACTAGTATGGAAAGCCGAACCAATATGGCTGGAATCTACCCCATGCACAGAACCGAACCCTCATGGCGGGAGAGGTTGTAAGGTAGGCCGACGTGAGATCTTTTATAGAATCTACAATAAGTGATTGACATGACAATTTACTGTTGTCGCTGCCCTAATCAGCCAATTAGGTCAAGTCTAAACTTTTTGTCATAATTATGGGCAATAAAATGGATCATTACATGCTTATGATTGTTTGATGTTATTGACAATAGGTCCCAATTGTATAGATAATGCCACATATACTTTCATCCCATGTCCAACATTCATCATATTCTACTATAAAAGCTCACACAATGTACTATTCTAAAGATAATGCAAATTTAAACTCTCAAATTATAATATTGCTAACCTAACTATTCTAATCACAGTCTACCCTAAAGTCGACTCCCTTTTTATATTGGAGGCTCGCATTTAAAGCACCCCCACACTCGTATTTACTACTACTAATTTGACTATCGAAGTCCCCATGATAACTCCACCATCACCGGAAGAAACCACGTGTGGCTAATGCTTTGTCCAAGTGTACAGAAATTAAGCTTACGTGGATGCGTGAGGCATTGAGATTTGTTGACCATGTTGGAGGTACAAAATTCGAGGTCAACAGTTACTGTATATCATTCTAAAAAAAGTATTTTTAGTGAATCAACTGCATCATATTTTACTATAAAATGGCAATTTATTTTATTAGTTTTGGATCTTGGACTCTATAAGTTTCCTATTAAATATTTAATTTTTGTAGAGCTTAAGATTATAATTTATACTGAAATTCAATTCAACAATATCTTCTTTTAATCGAGCTAATATACTTTTTCACGAGTATATAAAAATATTACACTAAAACATGACCTCTGATACTTTTTCGAGAATATTTCAAGATATTACATTAAAGTTGAATTAGGTTGCACGATACGATAGAAAACTTAA